ATTCAGGTCTGGAGACTTCTCTCCACGAGGGCCCCCGGGGGCCCCCGGGGGGCCCCGCAGCAGTTTGAGTCTCGAATAGTGGAGTATTTGAAAGTTCCGGAGTTGGTGACGGCTCTTTCCATATCCCCCAAGTCAGGGTTTAGGGTTTAGGGTTTAGGGTTTAGGGTTTGGGGATTGGGGGGCGCGGTGGTTTGAGGGGGGCTTCCGGCGTCAACGCGGCTGAGCTGTGAAATTGAGGCCACAAGCCGCGCTCTAGGGTTTAGGGTTTAGGGTTTAGGGTTTGGGTGTTGTGCAGCGGAGGCATTTTGGCTGTTGGGTTTCGCAATGGCAGCATTTCTTTCTACGACGCACGAGTGAGGGTTTAGGGTTTAGGGTTTAGGGTTTGCGTGCTTGGAGCTAGAGGCCCTTCCTCCCACCCAGTGGCAGTAAAAACAGCGGCTTTGGGCTCAGGGCCTACAATTTAGTGTTTAGTGTTTAGGGTTTAGGGTTTAGGGTTTAGGGTTTGCGTGCAGACGCTGAAATTTTGTTCGGAGGTTGACTGCAAGAATAGAAAGGGAAAATTTGCGAAGGGAAGAAAGGTAACGGCTGAGGGTTTAGGGTTTAGGGTTTACGCGTGACTGTCTCAGGGTGTAGGGCTTAGGGTTTAGGGTTTAGGGTTTAGGGTTTGCGCAGGTGACAAGCTTGGAGTGGCTGCCTGATGGGACTTCTCTGCTGGTGGCCACCAACGACTCGCGCATTCGCATCTTCGACGTTTCCGTAAACCCTAAACCCTTTTTCAAACCCTAAACCCTTTTCCAAACCCTAAACCCTTTTTTTCCTAAACCCTAAATTCTCACGAACTCTAAACCCTCATCCAGGCCCTCTCCAAACCCTCGCGCCGTCTTGCGGCTCTAGAGCCCTAAACCCTCGCTTTGTGCTCGCCAGGATTTAGGGTTTGGGAATCAGGGTTTAGGGTTTGAGAGTTAGGGTTTAGGGTTTAGGGTTTAGGGTTTTGAGAATTGCGCAGAGCCTGACTTGCGTCTACAAGTTCAAAGGCCATGTGAATGCCCAGATAATGCTGAGGGCCAGCTACACGTGAGGGTTTAGGGTTTAGGGTTTAGGGTTTGGGGTTTGCAGCGTTTATGTTCCCTCCTTGAGCTTCGAGCTTGGCGCTTGGCTCGCCAGGGTTTAAGCTCTAGGGTTTAGGGTTTAGGGTTTGTGCAGAGCCAATGGCCTCGGAGTTGTCTGCGGCAGCGAAATTGGCCGCATTTCTTATTGGAGGGTTGGAGGCCCTGCAGCCGACTTGCTGGACAGCCAGAGGTAGGGTTTAGGGTTTAGGGTTTAGGGTTTGGGAATTCAGTGGGGCGTAGGGTTTAGGGTTTAGGGTTTGGGGTTTGGGACTTCAGTGGGGCGTAGGGTTTAGGGTTTAGGGTTTGGGGTTTTCTGCAGGACGCGTTTGCCTCACTGGAAGAGGGTGACAAACAGTTCGCTCGAGGAGTTCAAAGGTAAAAAAGGGTTTAGGGTTTAGGGTTTAGGGTTCGGCTCAGCTTCACCCCGTAGCGCTTTGAAAGCTTTTGATCCGAGGGCGTAAAGCCCCTATAAACGAAGAGGCTAAAACTCAGGGTTTAGGGTTTAGGGTTTAGGGTTTTGTGTGCAGCATTTGATGAGCTGCTGACTTTTGCTGTTGCTGCTCCCCCCGCCTTTTCTGCTGCTCTTTTCTCTTACCTGTCTATACACCCGCTGCCCAGCAGGGCCCCCCAGCTGTCGCGCAGGCCGACGCTGCTGCAGCAGCAGCAGCAGCAGCAGCAGCAGCAGCGGCAACAGCAGCAGCGGCAGTTTCGCTCGGGAATCAGCAGCATTTCAAGCAGTCCTCCCTCTGTCTCTTCAGTGTCAATGAATTCCAAAAGAAATAAAATAAAACAATTTTTAGGTATTAAGAGAAACAACAGCAGCAGCAGCAGCAAAGTCCAAAACGACAGCTGCGGCAGGGGGGGCTCTGGGGGGGCTCTCTGCGGGGCC